CCTTGGGTGTTGCACAGCCGTGGTTCATTGGTCGCTTGGAAGAATAGAAAGAGTTCAGTCCTCCATGCCAATACTATTTTAAGTATGTTTTAATATCTAATAAAGACAACCCATTTAACTTATCTTGTGTCCGGCCTTGTGATGTTCCCTCAGTGTAGCTCCTCAGAGTGATAGTTGGTTCGGGTGGTGGGCTACTGGGCTTTGTCCCGACCCCGGCCGGTGAAAAAAGCTAATGAGTCTCCCTCATCCATCACTAAATTCATTCTGAGATGTCTGGAATGGCAACAGCATTGTGATGCCATTTCACTAAAAGTAAATACAACTAAAATATCTATAAAAACACAGCATTGTAATAGCTATAAAAAATAGGTGTTACCAAATAAATAACTTTTTTATTTTATTTTTTTTTACGCTATACCATTCAAGGTATGAGGTTGGTAAGATTCCTTAAAGTTTGTGAAATTCGATGTCCATTACACGAGAGTAGATTTGAAAACTTCATGCTGATTTCTACTCGGCTTTCTCCAAAACAAGCAAAACTAAGACGAAGCTTTACAGTAAACTATGCTTCTCCATCCATTTACGCTTTCCATTTGGTGGTGTGACTCTCCTTCTGTCTGGCATTAATGGCCACTTCCGTCTCAACCACAGCCAGTCGCTGCTCCTCTCTGCTTCTTCAGATAAGTTCTTTACTGTGCGACGCAACTCTTGGCCACTGAATCGGACGTCTCTGAGCAACCGGGATGAAGAGTGCGCCACAAATCCTCGACAACCCACTTCCACTGGATAAACCTGAACTCTCTATCCTCGCTGTTCTGCTTCAGCAGCCAGATGAGCATACACCAGTTTCTTCCTCTCATATACCTCATCTACAGAATCCTCCCATGGCACTGTTAACTATCAGTTGAACAATGCGTGCTGATCCAGATCACAAAAAAAAAAAAAAAAATCTGGTCATAGGTTAGTGGTGGCAATCTCAGGTGGAAAAATAAACCGTTGATCAAGATCAGCCAGCATATTCCAGTCCCTAGCAGCTTCCAGTTGTCCTGGCCAAGAATTGGTTTTAACACCTTTTCTTGGTGGTTGTTCGCCTGGGTGGAGAAATATTGTCTTCTGCGTGTAATGTTTTGCTAGAACAGGTGGTCTATTGGTCTTGCTACGCTATTGGTCGTAGCATGACCAATAGCCTACTGGTCATGCTACGCTTGCCTTCCAATGCTAAAGCCAAACATCACAGTACTTGGTCATGGCGCCAAGTAAACCGACCTTTTACATCCTGTCAAACGTCTGCGTCTAACTTCTCCCACTCGAACTGTGTCCTTTAGATCCTCATCTTACCATCAAAGACTCATCACTTCTTTCTTAGAAACTGTTGGTATTACCTCATCATTGATGTTTTATCTTCCTTTAACTATCGAGATGCTCCTTGATTTAGAGGGCTTAAATTGGATTTGTGCCCATTCGATATTATCTGTTAACTTACAATAACCGATTAGTGCAGGCTACTGTTGTAGTCATGGTTGTCATGTGATCCATGTATTCTCTGATTGGTTGTTAGTCGCATCCCAGAAGCGAAGAGCTCCTCTCCTACTACCCATCTGCCCTAATGATTGATTCCATTGCCATGGTAAAAGCCAGTGGAGAAATGGTGCATCCTGCCATTATCCCAACCTCTAAGCATTTTCATGTAGTGCTGAATTCTGGAGTTGAGAAACTAAAGCCAAGTTCACACTACAAGGTTTTAAGCCCGATTTATGCCCGATTTGCAAATCGTTGAGCTCGCCGATAGGTCAGGGTGTTATCGCGTGCAAATCGCGGGGGATTAGCGGACGATGAACGCTTGCCAATCTGTTAGTATGAAAGAGCCAACAACGCAGCGAAACCGCTCGCAGATGCTTCGCCGAGCCCAGAAAAATATCTAGCGTGCGTGACTCAACCTCAGTGATGTCATGAGTACAGCCAATCATAGCAACACATGGGTTGAGGACACCAGGTAAATCTTGTTTTTTTTTTTGTTTTTTGCATTTTTTTCTCAGAGCTGATCGTCGCCCAGTGTGCTGCACTAGTTTCTGTCTGACATTCATATCCGCGCATTGTGTTGTGTTCTCTTCTTCGCTGGGTATTGGTGCACATGCTGTTTCGCATCATTTCTGGTTCATTTTATTGAGTGGTTTTTCATGACAAAACGTGGTTTGTAGACAAGATAGAATCGTTGGGTGACAGATATGTTGTCAACTCGTTATTTATTTGATTATTTTCAGGATTTAGACCGTACCATATTACTGAGCTCTCATTGAGTCACAAATGATTTGCTCTTATCATCCGATCGTGGTTGTATCTCTATGTAGTGCGTTGTCAACTCGTGTAGTGAGTTACCTCCTGTTGTGTTGTGTGAACAGCTAAACAACTTGAACACTCCTGATTTCACTGAGAGCAAGTCATGTAGTGTGAACCGCACAGTTCAGCCCGACGTTTTAAAATCATGTAGTGTGAACAAGGCTTAAATTGCAAATCTCTAAAATAGGCTTTCACTAAATCTGTTATTGACATTGTAGTCTCGCGTAGCCAGACCTTCAGACTGACGGCTGAAGGTCTGGAATTCATAGCAGCTTTCTTTGGCCAAGGCCCGCCCATAAGGCCGTTTGACCGACATGTCAAACAACCAATTACAGTTCGTTTCATTCAGCGTCACGTTTCGGGGCGTCGAAATGTCCCCACAACATCAGACCGGCGTGCAACAAGTCAGTCAGCAGCAGTCACCGGAGGCGCTCGTTAACAACGGTCCGCGTTATTAAATTCACCCACGAACTCGCGCTCATGTCTATCTTATGCCCGCTTTGTCACACGGCCAGTTCAACCTCGTATAAATCAGGTTATGTGTGTAAATCACGTGCTCACGAGCGCTCACTCAGACACACTGTCCCCTGCGCTGCTCGTGCGTCACAGTTATGTTCATAAAGCGCTCCCCGTTCACAGTAACCGGCTCGTCTCATTCAAAACAGCCAGCTGTAACGTTAGCTGTCAGCGAGCCGCCGCACATTGAATACTCGCAGTCAAACGTTTGACTCTGCAGTATCGTATGCACCTTATAATCCAGTGTGCGCCCTATATATGAATACTGAATCTCGGCCAGCTGCGATGTCAGCGTCTGTTGTTTCATGTTTGCCCACAAACGCGGCTGATATCCCCTTCGCAATTAAGTACTTCACTTGATCTTCCATAATTGATAGGAGGGGACATACAACTACGTTTAGCTGATCTTGATTAATGCTCATTGTCACTCATAAACACAACAGTTTTTCTTCCGCAATCACACTTCTGCGCTTTGTTTCCCGGCGGACCGAAAATAAACGCGACACTGACGCCCCCCGGAAATCCGATAAAATTCAACCAATCAGATGACGACTTCGACATTCCTGAAGTGTTTCCAGTTAAGTGTACCATATGCATCAGACGTTTAGCCAACGTTCCGTGGGCGTGACGTCTGAGGCTGAGACTATTGACATTGGTACTCTGAAAAAAATCTAATGCTGCCCAAAGAAGCTCATGTGGCACTGATCCATATGCATTAGTCAAATCCAGGAATGTCACATGGAGATCCTTCCTCTCGTTTTTAGCTGATTGAATTCGTTGCCAGATAACATTGATGTGTTTTAAGCACCCTGAGAACCCTGGAATGCCCACTTTTTTAACTGAAGTGTCAATGAAGCCATTCAGCAAGTATTTTATTCTCACCAAGGCTGCATTTATTTCATCCAAATATAGTATACTGTAATTTTGTGAAATATTTTTACAACATGAACAGTCTGATTTCTAATTGAATATATTTTGAAAAGTAATTTATTCTTGTGATGCAAAGCTGAATTTTCAGCATCATCCACTTCAGTCTTCAGTGTCACATGATCCTTCCGAAATCATTCTAATATGATTGATGATTTAACTCTAAAGAAATGTTTTTTTTTTTTTTTTTTTTTTTTTATCAGTTAAAAATAGTTGCTGCTTAATATTGTTTTGTAGAAACCATCAAACATTTTATTCAGGATTCTGTGATTAAATAGAAAGTTGAAAAGAACTAGACAAGAAATATTTGGTAACACTTTACAATAAGGGTGCACTAATATGCATTAATTCATGCTTAACTAATGCACAGATAATAATGAGTTAATGTATAACTCATGAAGAACTAAACCATTAATTAATGATTACTGCATCAGCAACTAATAAAGAGTCGATATGGTTAATAGATTAAGAAATACATGAATTGTTATTAATTCATTGTGTCATTGTGTATTAATTCCTTAATAACATATTTTATTAAGTAATAGTGTAAATTAATGTGTTAATTACCACAATTAGTCAAAGCTATGCACTTCAACTTCCAGTTGTCTGCTTTAATTAATCATTAGCTAATGATTTGCAAAGGTATCATTATGTTATGACTTGTTGGGGCACATCATTATTAACTAGTCATTTAGTAATTGTAGTAATTTGCACATGAATTAGCATTGACAATGAAGTAATTAATCATGTATTAATGCATATTAGTGTACCTGTCATATTATCTGGAAGTTGAAATACAAGGCTTTGGCTCATTCTGGTAATTAACATATTAATTAATACTATTAGTTAAAAAAATGAGTTATTATGGAATTAATCCACAATTACATATTTAATTAATAGCAATTAATGTATGAACTAATACATTAACCTTACAGACTCTTAATTAGTTCCTAATGTGATAATCATTAATGAATAGCTTAGATAATCATTAGTTACACATTAATTCAGTATTATCTTTGCATTAGTTAAGCATGAATTAATGCTTATTAGTGCACACGTATTGTAAAGTGTTCCAAATATTTTGTAACATTATAAATGTCTTTACTGTCACTTTTGATCAATTGATCAATGCATTCTTGCTGAGTAAAAGTAGTAAAACAATTTTTAAAAAAATTTAGGTTAAATATATATATTAAATTCAAATACAACACAGTGAGTTCTGTATATTAAACATAATTTTATTTAATATAGTTCATAGTATTTTCTACAGAGATGGGAAATGGCAAAGACAACACAGATTCTCTCACGGAGGAACTCATTTTAAACGTGGGTTTCATCCCACATTGAATTTTTTAAAATATAAAAAAAGAGAACGAAAAAATCCATTCGCACATACCACGCCCACTGCACAAACATCTGGCAGATCAGAATGACAAATAATTGCGACAGCTGCCATTAATATGTTCATCAACACTATGTTATTTGAAACACTACAGACTAAACACTACAGTCAGTGAGGGAAGGAAGCAGTTTCATTGAGCACATGCAACACAATTTGGTGACACATGCACCCGTCTGATAAATGAATCTACAAAGCCTTTCACATTCAGATCATCTTTGCATCCAATAAGATGTGCTGTGGTGGGAATCCCTATTCATAACTGTACACTAAAAATGTACACTAAAGATGACATCACTGTTATGAACACAGATCATAGACAGAAGCGCTTTAGAATATAAAATGCAGCTGTTGTTTGTGATGTACACACACACGTTTCTTCAATCAGTCCAATTTCTTTCATACTTTTTTTTAACAAAGTATGTTTGATCTTTTTAATGATTAGTGAACATTATGACAGTCAAGAAGCATAGGGATTTTGTATGGCCTTGTTTGATTGCCTTTGATCACTCTTAAAACTGTATAACATCTGCAGCAAGAGAAGCTAAAGCCAGTGCGGTTCACATGTAAAATTACTAACAAAACAAAACACAGTAATTCATACACATCTTAACAGAGCAGCCAAATTTCCCAACAACCAATGACACGGCAACTTGCGGTGGAACTATATTTGATATTTCACATTGTGTACTTAATTTCTGATCCAGCAGGGAGCCAGCCTCTGCTGCAGTCGACTGTACAAATCAATATAACTACTATACTGCTGTTTTGTTGTAATGAAATGTGCTTCTACTGTATTATACCTGACATCACTAAACACATTTACTATGGCACGCTTTCAATTCAAATTTCATAGCACACTGGTTTCTGTCCTCAAAGAACACCTCAGCTAAGTTTACTGGAATAATTATCCATCCCATAGCTGACATCCAATCTGATAATGACATGCATCACTACAATCAGTCATTTAACAAATTTTCTAATAACAATACAGTATATAGTTTTCCCAACCAAACCGGACGGGGTGCGATTGAACTCGCAATAACAAATAAGGGCGTATTAGACACTACTGACGCGTCATTGACAGTATAACCACACTGTAGACTTTTTAAGGTCATGCAATAATTCTACAGTTTCGTAAAGGGCAAAACAATAAGAAAAGTCGCATTTCACACAAAATGTATTGGTTTTCCCTGAAAGTGACTGTTAATACTGATAGTGCTTCTGTGGCTTTTAGCCAGTGAGCTTCATATACTATATGTACGAGACAACCATCCCCTTTATAATCATACGGGACCTTTGATCCACCGCAGACTCCTCTTTCTGTTGCCTAGAACATGACCTCCTCACAGCTGCCATAGTCACTCTCCACCATGTCTGAGCCAGTATAACTGCGAGCGGTCCTTCTAGTGAATCCGCCGCTGTCCGCATAGGAGGGCTGTGCCACGCTCAAACGCACACTGAGCCTCTTATGGCTGCTGGAGACGTTGTCCAGGCTGCGAGCGTGCTGGGTAGGGTAGTAGCTTATGGCCGTGTACTCATTAGGGCACTGAGAGCTGGGCAGCGGCAGCCCGTCTGGCCCCAAGAAGTCATCTAAGTTCTGGTTGCTGTAACAAGGGGGCAATGGAGCACGGCGGTCGGCCCGGTCCAGCGGGAAAGGGAAGCCTCCGAAACGAGAGTTCCTGCGCGACTCTGTGGAAGTAGATGAGTAGGTGCTTTCCACAATGTCAAACTGTGGGAACGCTTGGACGGAGGGTCGGCCATAGTAGTCTGGATCAGCTGGATACACTGTGAATGAGAATGATTATGAATTGTTTATTTGTTCTTTTAGCTAAGGGTTGCAGATTTAAAACATTCTGTCTCAAACGTTATTTTCATGATATGCTAGATGGACAATAAATGACCTTGTATGAAAGTTTGGGGTAGGTACGTTTTTTTTTTTAAAATCTTTTTGAAAAATGATCACCAAGGCTGTATTAATTTGGTCAAAATACAGTAAAACATTAATATTATTAATATTGGGTACTATGTAAATATATATATTACAAAATGTAATTTATTCCTGTGATGGCAAAGCTAAATTTTCAGCATCATTATTCCAGTCTTCAGTTTTTAATGTTCTTGCTAGTGCTGTCAAATCGATTAATAAAGTTTTTTGTTTATGTAATAAATGTGTATTTATATATACGTTTATATATAATATATACAGGTAATGTGTATATATACAGTATATATATATATATATATATATATATATATATATATATTTGTATGTGTGTGTGTTTGTGTGTATGTGTTGTGTGTGTGTATATACAGTATATATATATATATATATATATATATATAAACACAGATGTATATGCATAAATAAATGGGTAAACACACATATACATTATACATACATATATATATATATATATATATATATATATATATATATATATATATATAATAAAAACAAAGACTATGTTAGATGTGATGAATCATTGCTGAAGAATTGATTCTTTAAAATAATCGTACTGATTCCAAACTTTTAAAAATTTTTGCCTTTTATACCTAAATGTATAAAGAAAAATAAAATAAATGATATTAAATTCTACAAGTGAATTTACACATCACAACATTATACATCACAACATTTTTCTGTAAGCTATATATATATATATATATATATATATATATATATATATATATATATATCACCATTTTTAATGTGCTATTGACATTTTTTAAGCCATAGCTTTTAGAAACTCTCAGTGCAGAAAACAGAAGATATTTGTAATTGAATATGACCCGCACATGCTTTTCCATTGACCTGCACAAGCACACGCAGCTATTTGTCCTCCGCCTCTCTCTTCTTTCATGATGTGACTAAATTCTAAATTAAGTGAAGAGCCTGTAGAAGCTGGGAAAATAATCAATAAAACTGTAGTTCTCACCTTCGTAGTCATGCTCCCAATTGTTTTTCCTAATAGAGTCGTTGTCAGAGCTGGTAGAGGGTGGAGGAGGTAGATTGGGGGCCACACTGCAAATCACAGGACCCTGAGGCCTATGAGACCGGGGTCCCACCTGAGGGCCGAGCTCCCGCTGCTCACGAGGTTTGAGTGAACGGAAAGGACTGTCCGGATCACATCCAGAGCCAATCAGAGCGTTGTTCTCCATGGGAGAGCTGATCTCAGTTTCTTTCATCGTGCTTTTGGGTAAAGTTGGGAAGTAACCGTTGGAATCTTGCACGCAGCCAGACTTGCGCTTCTTTTTGCTGATGTGACGTTTTCGGAAACACACAAAGGCCACGACAAGGAGGACAAGCCCCAATATGCCTGCGCAGATCTCTGCGATTTCCACATAAGGAGGGGAGGTGGTGCGCTCACAGTGGATGGAGTTCCCCGCCATTGAACAGGCGAAACCATACAGACAGGGATTTGGAGAGCATGCAATCTGACATCTGCAAAGAGAAGGAACAATTAACTGAATGTAGGAGTGTGGGCCACACGGATCTAGAAACACTCAAACAGCTGAATTACTATTCAATGGAAATGGTATAAGCCATCCTGTATGTCATTTATGGATTATTAGAAATTAATCTCTTCCTCATTCTAAACGTCCAGTGTAAACGATCAATTTCTTTTTAAATGCTATCAATATGCTACCATATGGGTGTTTTTGCACAACTCATCATAAATGTGAATGCAAATTAACAAGTTACTTTACAAAAAAATTTACAAGTTACTTGCAAAATCTGATTACATAACTCTTAACATTTAACTCTTAACTCTAACTCTTAATTATCATTTTTATCAAGCTTGTATATTTAAGTTCAGTAATTTCACTTAAATGGCAATTTAAGTGAAATTACTGAACTTAAATATACAAGCTTGATAAAAATGGTCATTTTAGAAGAAAATTTCAAATGGCATTTAGAGGCTTTTGCATCTGAACTCTTCATATATATACTGTATATATATATAGTTTTTGATATAATAATTTAGAGTGATAATTTGATGGGTTTTAGATGGTATTTTGCACTAGTGGTCCAGGAAAAAAATGCATTATAAATAATATGAAATAAAAACAAACAGTTAAATGAATATTAAACATCTTACATCAACATTTCTCACTACTTACTATAATTTTAAAAATGACTAATGCAGTTTACAAAGTAAATGTGCTGTTATGTCTTGCGACACTAATGAAAATTATAATTTTTTACATAGTTATACATTACTATCATATTAGATATCATGTGCAGATATCATAAAGGATCATATTGCATAGTTCCCCCAAACAGAGAAAAAAGAAAATAAGAAAATAGAAAATAATAAAGAAAATAGTATTATTTGATAACTATACAGTGTTTGTAAAGTTTCCCGTCTTGGGCTGTGCATAAACTGTAATTATGCTTCGATGCACATAGAACATGCATCAGAGCATTTTGATTGACATTCTCACACCATGACTAATTTGCTCAAGCTTTGGAGTAACATATGAAGGAGGACAATCAATAATGTTTTAAATTATTAACTAAAAGGCGAGTTACGGCATGTCAAACACATATCACATGTAACCTGTGTGGGCATGGGTTCATGAAATATATAAGAGGCAGGATACACAAGTATTCATTTTCAAGCAGATTAGTCAGACTTCTCAATGCCTTTACCAAGGACATTATTATATGTATGTGGGATTTCAAGAGCTCTAGTGTGTGAGCCTCACCTGTTTTCAGCTATTTTTGTGGAGCAGTTGCAGATGTACCCTCGATTATTTGGCATACACGATCCATTGCCACATGGCTGGGATGCACAAGGATTGTCCGGCAGCTTGCTGTTCTCACAGAGGGAGCCATTGTATAGCAATGGACAGATACACCGAAACCCTGGAGGACAGAAATGCATCTTAATGGCCAAGATAACAAATTCATATCCATAGGCTGAGATCAAAGAAGACTGTCACTGTATAATGATATTAAAAACTAATGTTCATCATTAGTTAATGATACTGAATGCACTAATGTTAACAATTATGCACACTAACTAACGTTAATGATTTAAACATTATTTTAAAGTGTTACTAACAAATTAATTTTTTATCATCACAAACCTTTTCCATTTTTATTATTTCAATACTACTACTTTGCCAATAAAATGCATTTCGTTTTACAGAGATGTTTATGGACATTTTCTAGTGATCATGGCAGCAGGAATTCATCACATGCCGATATGCATATGTTGCATAAAAATTGTACAGTGTAGACAAGCAAAAGGGGAAACAATATTGTGCAAATGCATATATTATTTTATAAAGAAGTAGGTGAAACAAAATAGACAGTGTGTGAGTAGACTATCATTGCTTTCCCACCTTCACTGGAGTCTTCGACACAAGTGCCTCCGTTCTCACAAGGATTACTGGCACAGATCTTCACATCAGAGCAGCATTGGTAGATCCCAAAGAGTGTGCCAGTCTGCAGGCCAGTTCCTGTCACCCCCTCCTTTCCTCTCACCACTTCTCCATTGAAACGTAAGCTCTCCAAACAGCCCGTGAAGCCCAGTCGCTCTGCATCTGTGCTGGGATTAGAGCCGGCCAGCACCAGCGCCCCACCGTATTGAGTGAGCTTGCAAGGTTGTGGAAGATCGACAGACTTGGAGTGGATGGCATCAATGGTGAGTCTAAGGGTTGTGCCATTGACCTCCAGAGAGACATCATGCCAGCGGCCATCAGCCACAGGGTGGTTGTCCACCTGCATACTGGCAGAAGCCATGTCGCCACATCCATATCTGAACCACAGCTCCTTTTCCACCAGCTAGAAACACGAATACAAAAGTCAATGACAAATAACAATCTTCCTGATAAAGAATGGGGAAATTAATTATTATTTTTTTTAAATCTAGTTTACAGTTTTTCACAGACAATTTTTATAATACTTTTAACAAATTTCCTAAACACTTAACGCACCAACACACCTACAACACACAATTGGCAAAACAGTTAACTAAAGTAAACTTCAACACTAATTTTCAAAATACAATAATACACTATAGCAGCAATACACTATGTCTACCAAAACACTGCAAACATGTCTCAAAATCAAATAATTTTTCAAAACAGTAACATATGTTTTCATCCAACAGAAACATGTAGTCAATCATAGCACAATGTCATAGAAACATGCAAATAGACAGTATGTATTGATCATAGATTTTTTTTTTTTTTTTTGTGCAGTTTCTTTTGAAGCCTCTCAACATTTTTTTTTAGGTCTTTTGCTGCAGAAATTCAATAAAAAAAGACTCATCTAAGAGTGCTTTATAGCATGTACGGTTACAGTATACCATATGGTCATACGATTGAAAGAACCCCAACACCTGAGTGTGTTTCCTAGATGGGAATCAGCTGTGATTTATATATTTGCATAATTCAATCAGCTGTTTCTCAGAAACAATCGAATAAAATACAGGGAAATGTTTGTGTTTCAATTCAAAATATAAACAGCTGTTTCCCATGACTTTAGCCTGTAAGGTTATAGGTTTAGAGTGTTATCTGTTCTGGCATATACTGTAGTGTTAAGCATTGATAAATTTGGCAGTACAAATCCATTGTTTTAGTCTTGTTTGAGCTTGTGTGGAAAAAAAAAAAGTTCAAGCATTTTAAATTTGTGTTAATTGTGTCAGATTTGTGTTAATTGTATCCATTTTATGTTAAAGCAACACGAAATGTGTTACTAGTATAGCTTACACAGAACGATGTAGTGCTACTGCTAACTGTGTTAAGAGTTTTGTAAAATTGTATTGAAAAATCTGTCATAGCAATCATAAAAAAACCCCCAAAAAACTGTAAAATACATATGGCAAGTTTTGGCAATATTTCTGCATGCTGCTGGAATGGTTGGTTAGTTAGTTGAAGTGTAACAGTTATTCTACAAAAATAGAGTGGACTTTGTATGATAAAGTCAGAAATGAAGTTGAGTGTGTTTGGAGAGTGAGTGTAGCACTTTTCTGTAACCCTTTATTTCAAGAGTCTCCCTTAGACATGTTACTAACTATAAGTAACTTGGCAACTACATGTGAACTAGCAGTCGTTAGAGTATTATTAGACTGTCTGCTTAATATCTGCTAACTTTATTGTGATGCTCCTCCAACAAACACTATACTGACTAAGCAACTTTGCAAGTACGCCAACCTATTCTACTAACCCATTTGCCCTAACCTAAGATTCGACTAATACTCTAATGAGAGTTAGTTGAAATGTAGTTAAGGTATAATGAGAGTTGGTTGATATGTTTGTAGATGCTAAGTTATTTATAGTTAGTAGAATGTCTTCTTAAATGGACTATGGGAATAAAGTAACCCACTTTTCTTCTAAAGCTTAAAGTTTTAAACTTTTCACATACATACATACAAGTCACTAACTATGAATTGCATATTGAATGTAATTTTGAATAGGTATTTATAATTAAAGAATGAAAGAAAATATTTCATCATCTAAAAAGTATACAATTCACACTTATTAGCTTTAGCCTGATGCCTGTGGCTTAAAAAAGTTACATATTTATGGACTATGTTAAGGCTCTTGCTGAGGTAGGTTACATAGTTTGTATTTTGGCTCAGTTGGAAGTGTGTGCTCTCAGCGCTCGCTCTGTGGGAGATAAGAAGCCCTTTGAGCATTGAAAGTAGTTGTGAAAGACAGAGCTCGATGGAGAACACAGTTAGTTCTTGTTAAATCGCATCAATGACTTTGTGATGCAAAATCAGGAGCAATCGAAAGCACACTGACATTATGCATCCTCAGCATTCCTCCCACAAATAATAGATCACTCATATATGCATGTATTAACTTTCCTGTTCTGTGCATTAAAAAAACATAGCTCTTGTGTGTGCACTACACATTTGAAAGTATTACACTGATGCTAAGAGTATGCATTATTAAGCATCATCTCCTTCACGCCAGCCTCTTAATTGCTGCGGCAGAATCTTCAGAGAGTTTTGTGATGTAAGAAGTGAGCACAGAGCCTTTTGCTCTGATCTGATAGCAGTCAGCCCAAAGGTTTTGCTCATTTACTTTCATTGGACAGAGATGCAGTTTGACTTGGTGTACTGGTTTGAGCTGAGTGTGCAGTGATAATGCTGGTGAGATAATCACAAAAAAGAAGAAGAACTTTTCCCAGGAGGACTCATCGAGGGTGAGTTTGATCTAAGTTTTGGTTCCTTGAGGGCAACGCTGAGTTTGACCAGCCCGTTCTCATCCAAAGACGTTTTATACTGACACTTTTGACAATGCATATACATCCAACGCACATGGCACCCATTAGCATCAATATGAGACGCATATATATATATATATATGGGCCTCCTATTGGTCTAATCCTAACCCTACCCCGACCTAAACCTAACCATAACCAAAGCGTGTTATATTGACACTAAAGGCAGTCCCTCCAGAAAAACGCGATTATGCGATCGCTGAATTCAATGCAAAATCAGCCAAAGTCCGCATATTTATGCGGGGGCCGCATTTTTTTAAATACGCCGCACTTTCGGCGCATAAATTGCTGATTTCCGTGCAAAATATGTGGGGTTTGCATAATTTCATAATCCTCGCATTTTCGTTGCAAAAAAAATCACATGTATCTTAGCAGAAAGTTGAAAAATGTTGCGTTTGCTTCACACAAGAGCAGCCATTTCCCCCTGTTTCCATGGGAACGTTATGAAGTGACGCAATTACGCGACGCCAGACAGACTCACGGAGGCGATTGACATCTCACAAATCGAACTCGTATAACTGTCTGTCACACGTTCTACCGTCACATCGTTAATTAATAAACAACATAAGATAAAAGAAGTAGCATCAAACAGAAATTACCCGCACACATGGGGTGTTCGAGGCGCACATATAACACTGCAGAGAGTTCAACAGGGAGCGCGCAGCTCTTAAAGGGGCCACACCTTATTTACATTCGTTACAGTCTGAAAAAAAACAAGATGAGAAATTAAATATTCCCAGCACTTTCTATGATGTAGTATGCTTGCTTATCAAAGGAAGTAATAAGAAATGACTCTTACATTAGCCTAGTGAGAACAGGATGTTGGGGGAATCACTTTTTTTCTCTTTTTCATCAAACCGCAATTTTTGCAAGTTCCCTCAATTTTTGCAAATTCCTGCAATCGCATAAAATTGCATAAATATCCCGCATATTCTTTCCATTGCTTTTTTAAAGAAAACGGGGCACGTAATCAAGGATTTTTGCCCGCAACAATCACAAAAAAACTCTGCGTTTTTCTGGAAGGACTGAATACTATTATGGTAAATGTTATATATAAATCGCAAATTTTTTCACAAATTTTTGGAAATTACCACCACAAAATCAGTCATTTTGATCGCAAAAATCAAAAAAAAAAAAATCGTGAAATCCTGGAGGGACTGTAAAGGGTGCCATTTGCGTTGGATGTATACGCATTGTCAAAATCGTCACTATATGACACCCTAGGACTCGGAGGAGAATGCGTTGGTTTTGACAGGGATAATATATATATATATATATATATATCACATGATCTCGCTGTGCTTGTAATTTGGCTACGAAACAACTTATATCTAAACATTTATGGTCAAGCAAACAGTGTAAAGTATCCTTAAAAAGAAATGTTATTATGTCCCCACCTGAAGATCATGAAATTCAGCTGATATAGTCCAACTAACTATTATTTTGCACAATACTGTATACACAGTATTAAGACTAAGAACACAGACACCGCCAGATCATTTCCATATCATTTGCATGACCAATGCAATCTACCGGGTAGCGTCTGGTTAAAGACGTGCTTGTTTTTGGCTGGTTTAACGCAAACCTTAGTAAATCACCTTTTTCATTTAAATACTCTCTTTAATTAAATACTTTTTAAGTGAAGTATATACACTAGTTTGGAGTCAGTAAGATTGTTAAATGTTTTGACGCACATTTCTCCTACGTATAACCATCTGACTTGTGCCACAGTAGACCTTCTGTTGGTTCAGACCAGATGGGATAGCCTTCAATGCTCTTGTGCATCGATGAGCCTCAGGCATCGGGTTGTGGTTTGTTCTTCCTTGAACAACTGTTGGTACATTCTCACCACCGCTGACCGAGAGCAACCCACCAGCCTTGCCATTTCAGAGATACTCTGACCTAGTTACCTTGCCATAACAATGTGGCCCCTGTCAAAGTCTCTCAGATCTTTAATGCTGCCCATTTCACCTGCATTCAACATGTTGATAACAAGAACTGATTGTTTGCTTACCATCTAATCAGACCTTAAAGGGATAGTTCACTTTGAAATAAATTTTTGATATGTTTTAGCTTACCCCAAGGGCATCCAAGATGTAGGTGTCTTTGTTTCCACAGTATTTTCAATTTTGACATTTTTCAGTCAAACCGTTCTTGTCTATCACTCATACACTGGAGGCTAAGGGGGTCCACCAAAAAGCATGCACAGAGAAGTCAAAATTAAACATGATTTAATGACTCGTAAATGTAAGTACACATTGATGGCCTAAGACACGAAACGAGCAATTTGTGTGAGAAAACGAACAGTATTTATATCGTTTTACCTCTTGTAATCATAGCCATGACAAAATGATCTGACGGCACGGGCGCTTTCAGTCAGCGCATGCACCGGAAGTGATGGCTTGCGCGCCTACGTCACTCTTTGTTTATACAGAGATTTCGGAAGTTTTACCTTTCACTAAAAATATTTAGATATAAGGGAAACCGCAATGGAAGACGATTTCGGTATATCTAAATATGTTTAGTAAAAGGTGAAACTTCCGAAAACTCCGTGTAAATATTGAGTGACGTCACACGCAAGCGATCACTTCCGGCGTAACATTGAACTGATTCAGTTCGATTCAGTTGGACATTGCACAACTGATTCAGATCACTTGGACGTCACTGTGATTACACGAGGTAAAAACAATATAAATATTGTTCGTTTTCTCACAAAAAAACGCTCGTTTCGTGTCTTAGGCCATCAATGTGTACTTACATTTACGAATTATTAAATCATGTTTAATTTTGACTTCTCTGTGCATGGTTTTTGGTGGACCCCCTTAGCCTCCAGTGTATGACTGATAGACAACAACGGTTTGACCGAAAAATGTCAAAATTGAAAATACTGTGGAAACAAAGATACCTAAATCTTGGATGCCCTCGAGGTAAGCTAAAACATATAAAAAATTAATTTCAAAGTGAACTATCCCTTTAATATGTGGCCTTGTTAGGAGATGACCAATTATCACTCGTGTCTGGTCATGATGTTTTGGCTCATCAGTGTATATAAATAAATCTCTTGTCTCTTGGTAAAATGCTGCTGGCAAACATTACAGATATTAGAAGCATAATTTTGCTCCCTACTGTTTGGAAGAGTCTTGGTAAACGGAGCGTTTCCCCGATTCAATGCTTTCAATGCTGTCTAGGTAGGTTTCGTAACTGACCTCCTGATGCGAGTCCAGTTAAAAGAAAAACCTAATTATTGCGATAAATGCCTCCGTGCTCGGACTCCTCACAGCATTAAAGGGTATCAGTTCCACCGTATCTGTCCCGCAACATATCTGGTTTCTCTTAATAATGTTAGATCAGAGCTGTCGGTATTCATAAATGCTACCGCTGCTTAACTGATCATCTTTTATTCCTTTTCTCTTGTCAGAGGTGGCTTTGCTCAAGGCTGAATTTCCATTTGAAAGTAATCACTTAAATGGTAAGAAAGCTTTAAAAAAATGTTAGCTGAGTAGTAGATTTGAATTTGAATTTTGCTAGATTCAAAACATGAGCTGTCGGTCCTCTGAAATGAAACGATTGATAAGATGTGAAGTTCAAGTGATATGAATTTGCTGATATGCACCGGAATGTTAATTCTCCAGAGAGACACATACATTATGTCATGCATGGATATGCAGCATGCGAAGATGTATGCCCTAAAGATTTCTTGGATGACCATGTTTAACAATTCCTTTTGAAGCCCCTCTGCAACAATAAAATAGTCCATCTTGCCAAGTTCCAAAACCCAGAGGTAAAGCTTTGGAAAAAAAAAAGGAGAGTGCACTTTTGATGTTGCAAGCTACTTAAATTGAATATTCAATTATTCTGCATAAATGAGGCGTCCTCCGAGAGATACGTCATGTGATTTTGAAACAGAGGCCGCTGTTTCAATCCATGTTTTATGCATTCTTTATATTTCTCACAATATATAGGTTTTCTTTTGTGCAGTCCCTTCCTGTAGCTGAAGCTTAAGAGGTTTAAATAAACAATTACTCAAAGATCCCTCACTGTGCCTCTGAGAGCAGTCAGCCATGAATTTGTAACACTCATTTCAGAAACACAGGTTGATTTATCACTGATGTGCTCAAAGGGCGGGATGAAATCCACATCACAAGTTTTTAACTTTCCTGTTGAAATGCACTCTTGAATATTAATGTGTTTAATGTGCAAGTTCATGTAAACAAGCTTCTGTTGCACACGTTTGGATGTTGTTTTTGTCATGGGGTGGAGTCAAGTTTCCTGTTATCGTTCTATTGTTATCCGGATGGCTGGGTTTTCTTTGCATTTGAGATTTATACCTGGCTTTAACATACACCAGTGCACTCAAAATAAGCCTTTTGTGCAAGAATATGGCAGACAAAAGAATAAGTTAAAGATTCTTTTGTCAGAGTATTTGAGAAATGTTACCTCTAATGTTCCCCAGTCAGAGGCGTTGGTGGTCATCACTGTGCCCTCTGTAGCAGATGTCTTGAGTCGAAGAGACAGATGGAAGTTCTCGTTGCCCTCTTTTATTTGATAGAGGTATTTCAGATAACCCTTGCCGTCAAACCTCACAGCCGATTCTGCAATGCAGAAAGCATAAATAGTAAGTATATTTGGCAAAATGTGCTGCAGTGGTCCATTTCCCGTTGAAACTAATAACTGGCATCAAGTTACCAGTCTCTAATTAAATAAATTAATGTAAAGCATCTTTTTTACTTCCATTTTAAATTAATATTGTAAATACTGTAGTGTTTACAGACACATTCAAAAGTTTGGGTTAAGATGTTTTTTTTTAAGGATATCAATACCTGTATTCAGCAACAATATCGATCAATAATTTATGACAACATGTGTTTTCACATCAAAACAAATTAAGCAATTTTCAACTTGTTTAAATAAGTGATACAACTTAAAGATTCAACTTAAATTTAAGGTGAAATGACTTTGAACATTTGAAGTTGATTGTACTTAAAAATCTAAGGTTGATTTCTGAAGGATCGCGTGACACAAATATATCAAAAATAGAAATTTGAAATTGTAATAGTATTTCACAGTATTGCTGTTTTTGATCAAATAAATGTCAGCATAAGGAATTATTAAAAAAATCTTACTGACACCAAATCTTTGAATGGAAGTGCACATGAAACACAGATCAATGAAAGCACATAGTGCCCAGGAGCTGTCAAGATCTAAAAGAATAAATCTAAAATAAAAGTATCAATATACATACAAAAGAACTGTAAATTTAATGTGTTCGCTCCTAGTGTTACAATAGACCCTTTGGCATAGTTCTCAAATCTTATTAACATTCTCATACATTTAACTATAATATGCTCATCCAAGATGTCATATAACTGACGTCTTGGGACGTCTTTTGACCATATGTCAACATCCGCCTATTTAGGGTACCCTTAAACGGCGGTTAGATGACGTTATCGGATCCTAACCCTACCCCAGACCTAAACCTACCCGTCACCTAACTGACGTTAAAGGTAAAGCGTCAGTTGTATGACGGCCCGGGAATCGTCAACTAACTGACGTTTAAGGGTACCCTAAAAAGGCGGATGTTCACGTATGGCCAAAAGACGTCCCAAGACGTCAGTTATATGACGTCTTGGGATGAAACTGTGTTAGCTCATCACACTTGACGTCAATTGGTTATTGTATGTCTCATGTTACACAAAATGAGTATGTGCAATTTTTCCATATAGCTTCAGAAACCTTGGATGATAATAAAATCATATATCTATTGGTTCTCAACCACCCTTTTGACTCCAAAGTATCCCATTGTCCACAAAAATATTCAAATGCCCCACGACTTTTCCAGTCATTCATCATTTACTGGATAAGTAAATCTTACTCACAGTTTCTACCAGATAAAATATTTTAGACCTTGGCATAACTGGAAAAAAATTAAATACATTATATAATTATATAGAAATCAAAATTATACTTCATGTTTCTAAGACACAGGGATCCCAGTTTTTCAAAGACAAAAACAGTTAATGATTTAAAGCATTTATCATTCAAGTAATCCTGAAATTGGGCCCTGGCCCTCTGATTGAGAACCACTGATATAAACTACTGCTTTTTGCCCTTATTGGAGCTTGAAAGCCCCTGGTCATAATATGTTTTTGTTGTATGAAATGGCACAGCTTGAAATATCTGCTAAATGTTTTTTGTGTTCCCTGGACAATGAAAATACTAGGATTTTGGAATGACATGAAAGGGCATTTCATTTAAGGTCCCTTTAAGGTAGACCCAGAGCAGTCAAAACAAAGGTGCAACTAAGTGAGAAACTTGACAATATCCAAGGCCTCTGGGTTAATCCTCAGTGGAATGCAGAATAAGAGGTGGTCTGCCTACCATTGCAGGAGCACACACTCTCCCAGCTGTGCTGCGGGGTGATGAAGTTGGCCCGTGCAGTGGCGTAGGTATTCATTCTCCCCTGCCTCATCACTACTGCGTTCCTGCAACCCGGAAGCGGGCAACCAGCGCCCACGCAGTCACCATGCTTCAGTCTCAAGACATTCAAACCCAGTGCATCTTCTACATTTGAAAGGACCCCAGTCAGGTGTTGAAAAGACACTGGCTGGACGGAGCCATTTGGAGCTCGACGGACCAGCAGTACCTCCATGTTGACGGAGTTCGGCTGTTGTTGCAAGCTGGCGATGTGCAGCTCTTGTCTGGGTATGTTTAACCCCGAGCCCAGGCTGCGCTGGAGGCCTCTCCAGTGATCGGACACAAACTCTTCAGCCGAAAGTCCAGCCAACTGCAACGTAAAGCCCTGATCCAGAGCATGTTGAGCGCCAGCCCAAACGTGGACCTTCACTCCAGCCCAAATGCTAAATGTTCCATCGGACACGCTCACGTTCAAGTGGTACAGGCCTGGCTCCAGGTCCTTTTCCACCACGATCTTTCCATCCACTGTGTCCACAGAGAACAGGCCTTGGTCCGGGGCTTCAGAGACCAGTTTGTAGGACAGGATGTCTTGGGGATCTTGGTCCGTAGCGTGCAGCTTGCCGATGACACGTTTGGAGAACGTCCCCCCAGCTGTGGTGATGAAAACCTCTAGTGGAGACACAGTGGGTGGATATCGACTCTGCTCTGTGATGTTGATCTTCACCACGCATATAGAGGACAGCGGAGGGTGGCCGCTGTCAGTGACCTGTGGAGATGATATTTATGTGAAGTGTGAAAAAAAATATTGCAACGTGTGAACAACACACTGACCTTTGAGGAGTCGCTTTAAATAATTTAAGATGGTGTGGTAAAATCTCTGGCCCATAGATAACAATTGAGTTTACAACCAATGCTCAGCTTGTGCTGAACCATTACAAGTCATATTTCATTTGAAGGGATGGTTCACCGAACAATGTAAGATTCTTTCATTGTTTATTCACTCTTATGTTGTTACAAGCCATATGAGTTTTGAGATTCTGTGTGAAATGTTCATGTTACTCTTTTCTGTATAATAACAGTTAATGGGGGCCTGGGTTGAGCACCATGTAGAATTTGATCAAGAATGCTTTTGAACTTCCAATGCAATTCTTTGAATTTGAAAATTGAGGTAAAAAAAATGATCCGGGAGTCCAATTCAAATTTGAATTAAAAGTATAGGTAACTTTATTTTACAGTGCCCTTGTCACACACATCATAGTTACTATAGTAATTATTATATCATTGTGCATAATTTCATGCATATAGCCCTAAACAATTCCCTAATCCTTCCCGTATAGTAAGTGCATGTAGTTAATTATTATTAATCGATACTTAAATGTATAATTACATTGTATCACGGGAACCTTACAATATAGGGTTACACTTTATTTTAAGATGTCATTCACTTTATTTTAAGATGTCATTCAAAATAGAGCTATATAGCACTAAAAGTGGTTCATTGGCTTGTAATCATAGGGGAACCACTTTAAGTGCCACTTATCTTTATCAAATGGTGCTATGTAGAACCATAAGAGGTGCAATAGAGCACCTTAACCACCCCAGAGAACCACTGAAGAACCAAACTGGGCTTAACAGGTTCTTTAAATGGTAGTGGTGCTATATAGCACCATGAACACCGCAAAGAACCCCTGAAGAACCGCTGAAGAACCTTTTTTTAGAGTGTTGTTACAGTGTAATTATACATCTAAGTACTGAGTGATATTAAGGGTTAGTGTAGGATTAGGATTTGGTTGAGGGTTAGTTGTAACTAATGTAATGCAATTATGCATCATTTACTGGTATTACATGTAACATACTATATGTAACAAGGACACTGTAAAATAAAGTTCCACTTTGGCCACTTGAATTCACCATGCTGACAAACAGAAAATTGCTTAATTTAGCTATGCTTCATATATCGCTATACTATCGCTATGACTTTTTTTTTTGCCCACAAAATTTTGCTGACATATTGCTAATGTTACTGGTAGAACAACATAAGGATAAGTAAATGATGGCAGTCTTTCATTTTTTGGTTGAATTCCTTTAAACTTATAAAAATCAATATAAATGTGTGGTCAACGTCTTGTAACGTAAACTCACTGTATTCTGGAAATCACGGTATTCCGGACACTAGACCGTTTCCCGCAAATTCTATAAATAGACACTTCACGGTCATTACATACTGTATATATATGCGTGTCATCTTTGCCTCATCCTCGTTCGCTCCCGACCAACCCAGCTTATAGTTGTTAAAATGTATGCTTTATATATGAGAAATGACTCCTTCTACCTGTCCGAAACACAGTGAGTAGAAATTTTCAGGCGTCCGGAACACCGTGAGTCGTTACTCATAACTGAAGTTAATGAATGAAATCTTTCACCTGAATTTTTAGCAGATGCTGAGGCTTGCCTCTCCTCCTCAGCGGGGAGGATACGGACAGCAGTCCTCCTTGGTCAATATGAAAACTCCTGTCCTCATTTCCCGAGACAATATGGAAGGAGAAGGGAGGGCCGTTCTGAGGCGTATCTCTGTCTGTTACCAGCAGCTGCAGAATCCCTCTGCCAACCGAATCCCCTTCCTGTATCCAGAAGAACACCATTAATCAAGCCGCACATGCTTGGGAAAATAGCATCGGACTTTTAGGAAAGTGTCCTTTTTTAAACAAATAACATAAATAGATTTTGTATTTTGATCAGGACGCTTCTCACTCTTAAGCAAGTTTTATTGTGTTCGATTGCTTTGGCAACAGAATGAGTTTTGGTGACCAAAGACAAATCATCAGAATTGTTGGAAAAGAATCTGCTCAATCTGCTCAGATGTTTGTATGTTTCTTTCTGTTTTTCAAAATCTGTCACGGTATTTCAGTATTTCTGTTATGGGACTAATTTCTAATGGCAACAAAAAAACAAATCTAAGCTTGAAGACACAACCCAATTCTGTCTAAATGAAAGAACAGCTAGAACAGATGGTGATTTTTAACACTCTGTCTGAATTTGTCAACAAAGTGCTACCGATCGGTTTGACGTGCTCCTCGTCTTCGTTCAAGCTGGCACAACTGGAACAGGTAATTGAAACAGAATGCTTGGCTGACAGAGCTGAGCCTAATTGTTTCTGACCAACTGGTGCCGCATTTCCGCTGCACTCTAAAGACACAGACACCTTAGGTGAGGTAAATGGGGTGTGAGAAATATTTCCAAGTCAGCAGAGTAGGCCCTATAATTAGAAGCAATGGATCCGGCTGACTCTGAAGGGGTAAACAGACGGTCCGAATGCTGGCACAGAAAAAAAAAAAAATGCTATATTATGCATGGCTGATTGGCTCTTTAGCCTGAACTCTTGCCTTCCCCTATAAACATGTGTAGCTTAGAGCACAAATGAGATGACAACTGTGTCTGAAACTTGAAAACAAAGCAGTATATGAAGGCATCTGGTTGGTTTTGGCAAGTGATTTTTGCTAGTTTCAGCCTGACGCAGTTATCATTTTCACGTCCTGCGTCATGTTGTTTAAATGCATTTGCACCCATTTGTGCGCCCATGGGCGTGCTGGTCTGAAACGAGGTGTGTTCAGGCGCATTGTTAGAAAAATTGTAAAAGATATGATTGTGTACATGAAGATATGGTAGAATCCGCCTTAGATGATCTGCTTGAGATTTAACGTTTCCTCTCTGGAGACTAGCCACACATTCCCCTAAGTGCACTTGCGCTATGCGCTTTAGACCGTGTGCTTAGATCGTTAAAATAGCGCCCTATGTGTGAATACCATTGTAATCATTAAATATTTGCTTGGTTATCTCTGATGCGCATTTGAATTTGTTCTAGATGGTTTGCCGTGATATTACGGTGTCTTGGAAGACTTAAAACTGTCTGTTTGAAGAAAGTCAAGTCATTGACTAGCTTTGCAGGGAGGAAAAAGGGTAGGTTTTGGACGATGTGTGTGTATTTACCTGAAGAACAAGGCTGTGATTTATCTGCGAGAACGTCGGTGGGTTGTCGTTGACGTCAGATACGGTCACTGTCACCTGGACGGCAGAGGATAAAGGGGGATCGCCTTCATCGGCAGCTTGCACAGTTAATGAGTAGTGTGTTATCTGAAAGGCAAAAGGCTGTGTCAGTGGGATTATGAAGATATGAACAGTCAAATATCCACAGTAGTAATTAAAATGTTAATCTGTGATCAGAGGATATAACTAAACAAGAAAGTACGTGTTCTGGGTTGCGATTCAGGAACTCACCTCTTCCCTATCCAGCATGGAGAGGACCGTTACGTGTCCGGTGCGAGGGTCGATGCTGAACTGCTGCTTTGCATCACCGTTCACAATGGAGTATATGATGAAGTTATTCGGAGGCCCATCAAGGTCGACTGCACTTACCTAAGACAGATGCACAGTGAATGAAAGGTGGATGAGCATACCTGAGTGGTTTTAAGAAATGCTTTAAAGCACTTGATTTTATAAATATGGGGCGATTCCTTCTGGAAAATTTGACTGCTCGTCCTCGTTCTTATCATCAGGTTCTTCAATTAAAACTTCTTCATGGGAGGGTAATGGTGAGTCAGATGGAGAGAAATCCTCTACAACTGACTGTAAACTGGCATTCAAATTTGCCTCCATTTTGTTAGCAACGCCCAACCTCCAACGATCCAATCAATTCCCGAAGGACGAATCAAGCCCCGCACTACATGTTTTCTAATTTCAGAAGCCGTTTCACTCGGATACACTTCACAGTAAGGAAAAAAGGACAATCTCAACTTCCGTTTCATGACGACTTATAGAGATACTTAGTCATAATTATGAGAAAATTTCTCATTATGATGAGACTCTAAGTCATTTTTATGAGAAACTTTCTCAATATAATGAGAAACAGTCATAATTATGAGAAACTTTCTCATTTCTCATTTCCATACGTAAGTGACAAATGACTTAAAAAATAAAAAAATAACAATGCATACAGCTTCCTTTAGACCTTTTCTGTTCAGGAGGGGTTTTTTTTTTAGATGGTAAGGTCCCTAGACCCCTCACATAATCATGACACATCCCACTCGCACATTATCTAAGCACCCATCCCAATAACATGAATTATCATAGGCCTAATTAGTGTCCATAGGGAAGTTCAATCCATTGTTTATGGCCTGATGAGCCGCGGGAAACCGCTACTCTGAGTGATGCGGTGCATGAGTTTTAAAATAGTCATGAGAAATCAAGTGCCACCTCAAATAAAAGACTGGCCCAAGCCAGTCTGTGTTGGGTAAGGCCGTAGACCTCTGTTGAATGTGCGTGACTATATACTGTATATACATGAAAATATTTCTTATGTGTGTGGATTTATATATATAAAATAATTATACACAGTGCACCCACGTAAACACAAACTTTTATTTTAGACGCGATTAATCGCGATTAATTGTTTGACAGCTCTAATACATATATATATATATATATATATATATATATATATATAGTTTTGTTTCTCAAAATTTTTACTGCAAGAAAATGATCATTTGCAAGGAATAATTCAGTCAGCTTTAGCCTTATTACTGGATGTTCAGTGATAGTTAAGGGAAAGTGTTATACCTGTAGAACCATGTCCCCAGGTGAAATGTCCTCTGCAATCACGGTTCTGTAGCTACTGTTGTTAAAGACAGGCGGGTTGTCGTTGACGTCTGTGATATTAATGATAACTGAGGCAATTTCACTGAGCAGTGGTTTGCCCCTTGCCCCTTCCACTGACAGGTAATACTCGCGGCAAAGCTCAAAATCCAGCGGAGCGTTCACCGACAGCAAACCTGTGGCACAGAGCAACAAAATAACATCCAGTCAGTCCTGGCTGGCATTCTCAGTTCTTCTCACATCCAGCATACATTATATCTTTATCAGTTTGCACAGAAATACTGACCAGTACAAAACTTACCAGCACTAAAAGTGCAAAAATTGCATAGAAAATTAAAGTGTGTTCTGAAGATCTACAGTAGCACCATTTTCTTAAAATGCTTCATATTCGAAAAAGGCTTGATATTGCTTCATAAATGTGTGAACAATAATGGCAAAATACTAAATATCTTGATGAGTGTGTATGAGTTTGTTCTGCAGTTTCCCCGTAATAGAAGCACAACTGATTTGTGGGTTTGATAAAGGGGTTTGATTTACAATTCTCATATAAACTTGTTTCTAAAGGTGTAATTTATTGTACATTGTCCATTTCTGCTGTACCGTGTGCCTAACATACTGTATGTTCAGTAGCCTATATAAAAGTGCTACCAGAAACGTTCAGATAGAATGGGAGTTAAAGCTTTCAATATCTACAATACCGGCTGATTTTCTTTTATCATTGTATAAGCTGACCACGTGCATTCTGTCTTGACTAATAACTCTCATGTACTTCCCAGTGGAGTTGGACTGAATGCATGACATCTTTTATGCAATGTTGCATTTCTGTTTTTGCAAAGCACTTGATTCCTACAAGAGGCTGATTCATCTAAAAGTATTCGAAAAAATCTGATGGGATTTGCTCTGTGCATTATGGGTAGACACTGCTATTGTATGTCTCATTCTCCAGCAGCAGAGAAAGTTGACAACTGGACCTCTTGCTGATCTGTCTACTCGCATTATCAGAGTAAAACAAGATGGAACAGAACAACAAAAACATGGCATTCTTGCTTAAAGCTCAAGAATCGAGTTTTCAGTGCCAAATTGCTCTGTAATGTTTCTTTTCATTGATTTAAAAGATCAAGGGCTATGTTGTGGCACTTAATGGCTTTCTTAGAGATCCACCACCATATTATTACCAGCGTAGTGTTTGTCCTTGGCACATGTTCTGTCAATATAGGTGTGTTTGTGCTTGTGTTGAACAGACCTTTTGTTCCATGCAAGTGTAGACAGCCATAGTAATCCTTGTCTAAGCAAAAGGAGCACTTTTCAATGTCAAGTGTGATGAAGATGCATCAATGTTCTCTGCATTTAGCCATGAGCTAAATGTGTATTTACCATTGCATTGGAACGTGATGATGGTTGTTAGGGGAACAAATGACTCCGCCTTCATAAAAATAATAGTCCATACTGTATATGGACTGCAATAACCATCAATGTCAGACATCAGCTTACATCATTTTATTTTATATTTGGTTCGAATGACACAAGCAACTGATCTTGTCGTGAGAGGGGCAATGTGACACTGAACTGTGGGTAATAAGATGTAAAACTGTGACATCTACTGGAAGATGCAAAAACTGGGAGAAAAAAAAAAGGTTTATATGATTCATGAGTTCCTGGAATGGCAAAACCATGCGCTTGATCATGTCACTATGAAACACTTATGTTGATGTCACACATATGAATGTTTTATTGACAAATGATTACTCCCTTTCAGCCCTCAAAGACAAATATCATGTTGAATACCTTCACTTTTTTTTTTTGCGATATTGGTGCGATAATAAATGTCTGTTTCCTAGCATAAATGTCTGATCAACACCCAGATCAACCTACTGAACAGACTGCATTCAGATGAAAATAAAGATATATGCTATCTCGATCCATCTGCCTTGACATTTTGTAGTTAATTTGCCTACAGTAACCTGCTAAATGAGTCACTTGCAATCTAACCTTTTTGAACATGTGCAAACATGCATCTTCACCCATTGTCATGTTGAAGATGCAGTGATATTCTTATTTGTATAGTGTATTCTTATGAGTCATTATAAAATTGCTGAAGCAAACATATATTTTTTTTAATACTTAGTGAATCTTTCCTAAGGCTATTTGCAATGAGACAAACTGTTAGGTAACTCTATACCTCCCAATCAGGTGTTGTGTTGTTAATCAAATTATGATTGTTCACTAAAGTAGGCCAGGTAATTGTCTAATATGGTGATCAATGACACTAATATAATATATTTATGTAACTCCCAACAGTAAATTAAATTAATTTATTTTTAATCCTACAATTATTCAGTTTGACCTTGCATGAAATGAGAAAAAGGCAAAGAGTAATACAGTGCAAGTTGGTGTAATGTATGATTGATGAGATTCATTTTGAAAAAAATAAATAAATGTGAATGCTAGCGCAATTGTAAAATGGCTTAATTTTTTCACGTTGCACACACACACACAAAATATTCTCATGTACAAATTGCTTTTGATTATTATACTGAAAATGTGATTAGCTACAATGTTTTGGTAAGGCAGGGGGACACGAAAACAATCGAACATGAAAAGTTTGACAACTTTTATTAAAAAGCCTCAGGTCTTCTTCAAAGAAGGGGAGATTATATTGAAATGCAGTGGATACGGTCAAATCAAGCAAACTTCACCAAAAGAGTATCTGAAAAGAAATATTGCTGATACAACACTGAAGATCTGCTTTTGAACTATGAACCATCTAATCTATTTGATTCACTTTCTTTTACCACATAAAGGTTTTTTTAGATGACACATCTTAATGAATCACTGAACTCTAGGCAAAAAAGAAAAAAAAAAAAAGTCCAGAATATAATGCAAACCCAGCAGATCTGAGCTTGACATTTATTTGCTATGAAAGTATGCAAAACTTCAGTGGATTTTTGGAAGGGAATTACCTCAAAAGCAAATTGATTTATGCAGAATGCTTGCTATCAGGCAGAACGGACAGTTTTGAATTGTTTGACAACTTATAAAGAGTGTGGCTCAATCAGTGATAAAATTCCTGCAGCATGAAGTTTCAGATGATTTGAAATAAGGGACAAGAGCAAAAAAGACTACTGAACAGATGTGAATAAACAAGCTAACAAGTGTCTGTGTGGATTCAAAACATGTCAGCACAGATTCTTAAATTTAACGTGTATTTTGAAGAACATTCCAGCTTTGCACAACAGCAATAAAGCCACTGAAGATCAATGGCGGCATGCTAATATATCTACTTTCAATAAATGCATGTGGATCACAAACATATTCAGCCTCAAACTCATTGTAATTTTTTGTGAGACTGCACTTCAAGTTATATAGGCTACAGTTCCTGTAAGTCTTTTCAGTTCAGAATGTCACATTTTAAATTGGGTCCAATTCTCACTGACTAACTATTAAATCTAGCGTACAGCGTTAGTTCAGGCAGGCCGCGTAGTCAAGCTCTGCTATCAGCTGATAACGGTCTATCAGCTGATCCGATGGATACGCCTTCAATTATAGTCTTTCAATCAAGGGCCTTATTTAAAGGCATCTTTTAGTCTGTTGCTCAGTTGCTTCCACTGCATGCTCGCAACCCACCTCCTCCCCTAGCTCCTCCTTCAACTTCGTCTAACTTAATCAGTGTCAATCTGTTTTCACTGATGCATGCTCTGTTCTCAAGGGGGGATTGTTTGCTGCTTTCCCAGTTAAATGGGAAATTGTCCCCAGAAGCTGCTGCTGTTACCTGACTAACTTTCATGGAGCTCATGAAAAGGATGGTAATTCAGAACAGAGCCATACCGCCAAATGTAACTTTACCAATCATGCAAATAAATATTTTGGAAAATAATTGCTTTTTGGTATTTTTGACTCAAGTGGTCCTGACTGAACTATGACTTTGCTCAGTAAACTCCTAATTTCTGCTTATTAATAGTTAGTTAGGTTGTTAAGTTTAGGTATTGGGTAGGAATAAGGGATGTAGAATATGCATTAACATGTGATTCATTAGTCTAATAAACAACCAATATCCTTTAATATGTATGATAAAAAACAACCAGTTAATAGTGAGAATTGGACCCTAAACTAAAGTGTTTCCTAGAATTTTTTATTTTATAAATTTAATGATATGGACAATGAAACATAAAAGTGTTAGAGTTATAAGAACTTTGTCCCACTTTATATTAAGTGGCTTTACGTACTACTTACATTGAACAATAAGTACAACATATTATTGTGTTCCTCTTGTATTATAAATCACGTTTGCTGTTATTGAGGTGTGTGATACGGGTAGGTTAGGGTCAGGTGTGGTGGTATGGGTCGGTTTAAGGGTAGGTTAAGGTGTGAGGGGAGGGTCAACTGTGTAGTTACAAATGTAATTACATAAAGTAATTATAGCTGTAATTACATGCTAGTATTTTTAAAATATAAGTACAATGTAAAAACATATATGTACACAATAAGTCCATTGTATCAAATTATTAATTTCATAATATATGTGGGTGCACTGTGTATAATTATTTTGTATATACTGTATATAAATACACACACATGCATTTAAGAAAAAAATATTATTTATATATAAAATATTTATATATATATATATATATATATATATATAAATTATATATAAACCAATATACAGTATATACATGAAAATATTTCTTAAATATATACAAGCATGTGTGTGTATTTATTTATAAAATAATTATACACAGTGCACCCACATATATTATGTAAACACAAACTTTTATTTTGGATGCAATTAATCACAATTAATCATTTGACAGCCCTAGTAAAAAGTAATATTTTATTTTACTTAGTTTCCTTACATCATTAGGTTCCACTTTATATTAAGTGGCTTTACCATGACACTAACATTTAAAATAATAATTTGATACAATGGACTTGTGCACACAAATGTGTGCACACATTTTTTTACATTGTGCTTATATTATAAAAAATAAAAAATACCTGCAAGTAATTACAGATGTAATTAATTTATGTAATTTAATTTGCAATTGCTGACCATTCCCTTACACCTTAACCCACCCTTATACCCATATTACACACACCTGTCCCTAACCTTAGCCGTATCACACCTCAATAGCAGCAATGTGTTTTACAATACAACATGAACACAATAAGTACATTGTACTTATTTTTAGATGTAAGTACATAGTACTTAAAGCCACTTAATATAAAGTAGGACCCATTCATTATGTCAAACTACCAAAAAACCAAACTAAAAAAACTACCTCTAAAATTTAAAGCATTTGTAAGTGTAATGATGTGGTGATGGTGCAGTGGATAAGACACATGCCTCTGGTGCGAGAGACCCTGGTTCAAATCCACTGTGAGACACCAATGTGTCCCCGAGCAAGACACTTAACCCCTAGTTGCTCCAGAGAGGCATGCGACCTCTGACATACAGTATATAATTGTAAGTCGTTTTGGATAAAAGCGTCAGCTAAATGAATAAATGTAATTGTAAATGTGTAAAACACTGACATGTTTAAAGCCTGGCCATATATTCCATGATCCATCATTACAAAACATTAAACATTTACTAAATAAAGAAATCTAATTTAAAAAGCCCTTACCTGTCATGGAGTTTATCTGGAATCGGCCGTCTACATTGCCAGAGAGGATAGTATATCGTACAGGCTCATTATCAGTGCCATCTATGGGGAGGGCAGACACGCTGATCACCTCTGATCCGATCCGTAACGATTCTGGGATCTGTACAAAGTACTCCGAGCTAAGGAACAATGGCTTGTAATCACTCAGGATGACCACGTGTACTGTAATTGTGGCAAAGGAGAAAAGGTGGCGAGGTAGGCCTCTGTCGGTGGCTTTTACTTTCATCTCATAGGTAAACTTGGGCTCGTCGGCTAGAGATCTCTCCAGTCTCAAAATGCCTGAGATTTCATCTAGGGAGAAGAAGCCGCTGTCGACGCCTTGAAGAGAGTACCTCACCTCTGAGTTGATACCTGGAAGAGTTATATAACAGAACATTCTCAGTATTACAGTGCAGGAAAAGTGTTCGTGAGAAGAATAAAACTTAAAAAAAACTTGTAGATATCAATCTGCTGCATATCTGATGGATGCTTGCATGTTTGTTTTTTCGCACTTTTGAATGTATCTTGACTAAAACAGCTCCATATTTAACAAAAGACCTGAACCGGTTGAAACCTATGTTTACATTGCAAGGTTGTGTTCACATTAACTTTGCACAATTGTGCATTACTTATGCTTAGAAAGGATAATGTCATTAAATCACTTGTTAAAGACATATTATATAAGAGCACAGAAGTTCCAATTCACATCAATCCCTGTGACGGTACTCTACAAGTTCACACACATCTCCAGGTGTGGTCTGTTCCTCCCCTAATCATGTTTCTCTGTCAGAGCCTTCAATCCTACATCAAACACTGCATTGCTTAAGCTTTTCAACCTGCATGTGAAGGGTCAAAGAAAAAAGCTGAGGGGCTTTTAATACTTTCTGAGTGGATAAGTCGAAAATGGCCTGTGTGTTTTGCTTTATAGCAGCCATTCGTGACAAGAGAAACAGTGGCATACCTGTGTCTGGGTCTTTGGCATAGATGACAGCAATAGGTGTCCTAATCGTGGTGTTGTCAAACACAGTGATGTCATAATGGCTTGTGGAGAATTGTGGCGGGTTGTCGTTCGTGTCTTTTACCATGAGTGTGACGTCTGCCTGACAAGAGCGGCCACCACCGTCAGTCGCTTTGACAACAAGATCATACTCTGATTCCCGCTCCCGGTCCAAGGCAGCAAGGGTGTATAGCTCACCTTTAAAAAAAGAAAAGGCATATGCTTGAAACTAGGCTTTATTAAAAAAATGACAATAACAGGGAACGGTTAAACACTGTGTTGTAACATGTAGGGTATTTAGGACAAGCCTTGACTAGTTATTTATTTGATAGATATGTGAAACAGATTATTTACTTGAAGTCAGTGGTTTCATTTCTTTACCATGGCTGCAAAAACAAAGAAGTTGTTGTTTAAAGAACTTTACACTACAGAGCTGGACACAGTCCTTTGTTTCTATCATTCTCTGAAACATTTCATGCATCTTGTTTCTTGTTAACCCAAAATAACCATCTTAAAAGATGTTACATTTAGATAGGTTGCCCTGGAAGAGATTAAGTCACATAAACAAATAATAAATCAAATAATCTCATACAAGGAATTCCAGAAATTCCTAATGTCCTGGGAAAGTTGCCTCTTATCTTGTTTGTTGGTTTGATTTCCTCGAACAGTAAGCAAAAGCAATCTCAAACTAGTCAGAATGCTACTAGCAATCTGGAGGAAGATTGACAGATCAAAATTACCAGTTTTGGAGTCAAGATGGAACTTGTCTGCATTAGGTCCATGAAGAGTAAATGACACCTGGCCATTTGTTCCAATGTCGGGATCAGATGCAGAGATCTTCAGAATGAACATGCCTGATTGGGAATTCTCCACGACTGCCTCTGTATAAAGTAACTGGGGAAAGTGGGACATTTTCCAATAAAATAGGTTGCCATCAACCAATTTCAGAATTTCTTCAATTTAGGTCTAGTATGTAAGCCTTTCTAGAGGCACTTTTATATCCCATGTCAGAATACATTTATTATTATTAACACATGTTTTCATTAATATCGCATTAAAGTAGATTTTGGAAACTTTTTACCATGTCTTCATCTATCTATCTATCCTGTCTGTCTATATTTTATTTTATATATATCCACAGGGACAAAACTGCCCATAGTTGAAGAAACACACATAAACATGCAGAAACATACTGATATCTTCTGAAGAACGCCTGACTTACTTGCTCACACAAAGGACTGTTGTCATTGAGGTCAAGAACATGGACCTCGACTTTGGCAGAGGTTTGAAACCTTCCATCTGTGGCTGTTATCTTAAGGGTGTATTTGTCTTTGTCTTCTCTGTCAAGTGGACTTTTGGAAATCACTGTCCACTCCTCCCCTGCTGATGTGACTGAGAACTGGCCCAATGGGTCTCCCTCTTCAAAGATGAAAACAGCAACAGTATGTGTTTAAAACCAAACATATATCATTTTGCCCATGCAAAAAAAAACAACAAAAAAAAAAAACTGTTACAACAATGTTTATACAACAGTCAAAGTTGAGGTAAAATGTCAAAGCTGATTTGTAAAGACAGACAGCAAAGAATAACTACACTCTTAGAAGAAAAGGTTCTATATAGAACCCTATGCTTCATATATAAAGCCCCAATGAACCCTTTTTTCTAAGAGAGAGAACTCAGTTTCATTATATTAATAGTGTTATATAAACATTACATTAATAGACAATAATAATTGAACTAAAACAGTGACTGCGTACCTGTTATATAACATACAATCTGTCTATTATCTGCAGACACATCTTTGTCAGCAGTTGTCAGAGTCACAATGGTTGTTCCAGGCCTGCTGTTCTCTAGTATGGACCCTTGGTACAGTTCTTCTGTAAACTGAGGTGGGTTATCATTTTCATCTGTGATAGTCACCTCAACTAGAACTGAAGAGGTCAGTTTGACAGTGTCGCCATGATCAGTGGCCACCACATAGAATCTATGAAGCTGTTTGGTCTCAGAATCCGCCTCCTTTAAGGCAGTAATCCAGCCAGTTTGTGAATCAATTGTAAACATGTCGCCAGTATCATCTGCCTCCGACTCGATTGTATATGAGACTTCTCCGTTGACGTTTGTGTCTGCATCATTAGCTGTCACTTGAATGATCGTGGTGCCGCGGGGCAAATTCTCAGTCAGGAAGGCCTTATAGGGGTCAGCCTCAAACATAGGCTGATTGTCATTAACGTCTTGAACTTTTATGTGAACAGACACAAGAGATGCTACATTGGTACCATTGTGATTTCCTTGAGCAATCACATCAATCTTGTATATCTTGGTTTTTTCATGGTCAATGTTCTTCTGCACTACAACTGTACCGCTATCTTTGTCGACAGCAAAAGCATGCTCTTTGTTGCTGTCTATGGTATTACCATCCACCAAGCTGTAAATCAGTGGCATATCAGCATCCGCCTTGACTGTGCCTATCTCATATCCGATAGGGAGGTCCTCAGATGCTGAGAAAGTGTACAATGGCTCGGTGAATCGGGGCAGGATGACCTCTGGTGGGACCACCTTGACCTGTACTGGCACAGAGGAGTTGTAAAAAGGAATGCCTCCATCTCGAGCCTTAACTTTGAAGGTAAAAATCTTGTTCTCCAAACCAACCAGACTCTCTTTGACACTGACCATTCCAGTAAAAGGGTTGAGCTCAATAATATCTTCAGTAACCTCCTCCGCTTCTTCTACTGTGTAAGTGACATCCGCATTTTTACCTTCATCTGCATCATAAGCCATTATCTGTATCACTGGTGAGCCTTTGTTTACTGTTGACTGAATGGACACCTGATACTCTGAGGCTTTAAACTGAGGGACGTTATCATTCTCATCTGTTAGAATGATCTTTACAGTGCAAAATCCCACTCTTCCTCCACCATCCTTAGCCATGACCTTAATCGCAATCACTCTTTGCGATGGATTTTCTCTGTCCAATGACTGTGAAGTCACAATTTGTCCATCTTCATCAATGGAGAACTTCTCATCGGCAAGCTTGTTAATAATGGTGTAGTCTACACTGCCGTATGGCCCATCATCCGGGTCAATAGCAGCCAGACGGATCACTCGAGTTCCCACTTCTGCGTTCTCTGCCAGATCTGCCTCGTAAATGTTCTGGTTAAAATAGGGGCTGTGCTTGTTGCCGTTTGTCATGTCAATGTTAACAGGGGCAGTCTTCTGAAACACACCGTCAGAAACTGCAACGGTGAGGTTATAAAATGGATCCAGGTTTTTCTTGCACAAATTGGAGAATGAGATAAGTCCAGATGATTCATTAATAGAGAAATATCTCCCCTCGTTGCCAGACAGGATCTTATATTGGAGGTCATCCTTACTATCAGGGTCTGAAGCCTGAACTTTGATAACGATGTGGCCACAAGTAGCCATTTCATCAAGAGAGGCCCGATAAGATGGCTCATCAAAATCTGGAGGGTTATCATTGACATCTATGACGTTCACAATGATGTGAGCCTCACCGCTGAGCGGTGGTGAACCTTTATCTGTGGCTTTAACTTTCAGCGTTAACTGCTGCATGGTTTCATAGTCCAATACTTGCACTGTCACCAAAATCCCAGTTATTGGGTCAATATCAAAAAAATCACTTTTGTCAATCAATTGGTAAGTTACCTCTGAATTGCTGTGTGAATCTCTGTCAACAGCTGAGACCTGTAAAATAGATGTGCCTATTGGAAGGCCCTCAGACACATCGGTAATATAAGACAGATTTTGAAAGACAGGGGCATTGTCGTTTATATCTTCCACTTCAATCTCTACTTTGGCTTCGCTAAAGGTACCAGTCACCGAATCTGTGGCACGAACAGTCAAAATATGCTTTGTTTGAGTCTCAAAGTCTAGGAAATCAGTGACACTTAAGACCCCTGTTTTGAAATCAATGTTGAAAAACCTGGAGGCATTGTCTTCCTCTAGATTGTAGATAAGGCCGTATCCTTCTGGGTTTCTTGCTTGCACATGCAGGATCGTTGTAAAAGGAGTAATATTCTCAGGTAATTTCAAAGGGTAGTACATGCTTTGAAATATTGGATGAGAACGATTTTGCACTTGGACGTAGAGTGTCCCAGCGGCTGAAAGACTCGGCTCACCATCATCCGATACCAATACAGTGAGCACATAATTATTCAGAGATTCAAAGTCTAAGG